GCCAGACAGAAGCTGCAGCAGCCAGACAGAAGCTGCAGCAGCCACGCAGATGCTTCTGCCAACCAGGCAGAAGCTGAAGCAGCCAGACAGAAGCTGCAGCAGCCAGGCAGAAGCTGCAGCAGCCAGACAGAAGCTGCAGCAGCCAGGCAGAAGCTGAAGCAGCCAGGCAGAAGCTGAAGCAGCCAGGCAGAAGCTGAAGCAGCCAGACAGAAGCTGAAGCAGCCAGGCAGAAGAAGCTGAAGCAGCCAGGCAGAAGCTGAAGCAGCCAGACAGAAGCTGAAGCAGCCAGACAGAAGCTGAAGCAGCCAGGCAGAAGCTGAAGCAGCCAGACAGAAGCTGCAGCAGCCAGGCAGAAGCTGAAGCAGCCAGGCAGAAGCTGCAGCAGCCAGGCAGAAGCTGCAGCAGCCAGACAGATGCTGCAGCAGCCAGACAGAAGCTGCAGCAGCCAGACAGAAGCTGCAGCAGCCACGCAGATGCTTCTGCCAACCAGGCAGAAGCTGAAGCAGCCAGACAGAAGCTGCAGCAGCCAGGCAGAAGCTGCAGCAGCCAGACAGAAGCTGCAGCAGCCAGACAGAAGTTGCAGCAGCCAGGCAGAAGCTGACGCAGCCAGGCAGAAGCTGCAGCAGCCAGACAGAAGCTGAAGCAGCCAGGCAGAAGCTGAAGCAGCCAGACAGAAGCTGAAGCAGCCAGACAGAAGCTGAAGCAGCCAGGCAGAAGCTGAAGCAGCCAGACAGAAGCTGAAGCAGCCAGACAGAAGCTGCAGCAGCCAGGCAGAAGCTGAAGCAGCCAGGCAGAAGCTGCAGCAGCCAGACAGAAGCTGCAGCAGCCAGACAGAAGCTGAAGCAGCCAGACAGAAGCTGCAGCAGCCAGGCAGAAGCTGAAGCAGCCAGGCAGAAGCTGCAGCAGCCAGACAGAAGCTGCAGCAGCCAGACAGAAGCTGAAGCAGCCAGGCAGAAGCTGCAGCAGCCAGACAGAAGCTGCAGCAGCCAGACAGAAGCTGCAGCAGCCAGACAGAAGTTGCAGCAGCCAGGCAGAAGCTGACGCAGCCAGGCAGAAGCTGCAGCAGCCAGACAGAAGCTGCAGCAGCCAGACAGAAGCTGCAGCAGCCAGGCAGATGCTTCTGCCAACCAGGCAGAAGCTGCAGCAGCCAGGCAGATGCTTCTGCCAACTAGGCAGAAGCTGCAGCAGCCAGGCAGAAGCTGCAGCAGCCAGGCAGAAGCTGCAGCAGCCAGGCAGAAGCTGCAGCAGCCAGGCAGAAGCTGCAGCAGCCAGACAGAAGCTGCAGCAGCCAGACAGAAGCTGCAGCAGCCAGGCAGAAGCTGCAGCAGCCAGGCAGAAGCTGCAGCAGCCAGACAGAAGCTGCTGCAGAAGATGTTCTTCAGGTGATAGAAGGCCGACTTTGTAACTGTCTTTATGTGACTCTCAAGGTTCAGGTCTTGAGTCCATCACTACTCCCAGGTTTCGGACTTGATCTCTAGTTTTTAGTTGTAATAACTGAAGCTGTGCATTGACTCTAGATCTGTAGCTCTAGATCTATAACTCTAGATCTATAGCTCTAGATCGTTCCTCTTTAGGTCCAAAAATAATGACTTCAGTTTTGTTTTGGCACATCCACACATTTATCCTTTCTAAGCATTTATTCAGTGATTGGATGGGGTCAAAGGTCACCTGGTGACATCGTAATGTAGAGCTGAGTATCATCTGCATAGTTATGGTAGCTAATATTATTTCCTGTTATAACCTGAGCTACAGGGAGAATATAAATATTGAATAAGAGGATTGAACCTAGGTTGTGACCTTTGACCTCTTTGATGAGAAGTTTCCCATTGAAACAAAGAAATTCCTGTTCTTTATGTAGGATTCAAACCAGTCGAGCACCGAACCGGAGAGTCCAACCCAACTCTCCAGTCCATTCAGTAATATGTCAAAAGCTGCACTGAGGTCCAACAGAACCAGCACTGTGGTTCTCCCACAGTCTGTATTTATATGGATATCATTGAATACTTTGACTAGGCCAGTCTCCGTGCTGTGGTGAGCACGAAAACCAGATTGGAAAGAGTCAAAGCAGTTGGTCATCATGAGGAAACTATTTAATTGTTTTACACTGTTTTTTCAATAACTTTGCTGATGAATGGGAGGTCAGAGGTCAGAGGTCGGCCTGTAATTCTGCAGTAGTGATTTGTCCAAATTGTTCTTTTTTAGCAGTGGTTTGATGACTGCTGTTTTCAAAGCCTGGGGGAAAACACCTGATGTGAGTGATGAGTTACTATTTGGATCAGATCAGCAGCAATAACAGGCAGGACTTTCTTAAAGAAATGTGTGGGAAGGACATCCAGACAGCAGGAGCTTGAACTTCATTGACTTATAATTTGGTCTAGAGTTTTATAATTAAGTAGTTGAAAATGGGTCATTTTTTCTGTATTTATTTTGTTTGGGTACAGCAATGGTTCTGGCTTTAGAGTTGATGTGCAGATTAATCCTCTGATTTTTTAAAAATTTTCTCTGAAAAGAAGCTGGAAAACTTGTTCCATCAGCATTAGATTAAAATTCAGGTAGTAATGTAATAGGAGGGTTTGTGAGCCTGTCAACTGTTGCAAATAAAGCTCCAGCATTGTTAATGTTTTTGTTTATGACATCTGCAAAGAAAGCCTCCCTTGCATGTTTTAGTGTTGATAATAATAATAATAATAATAATAATAATAATAATAATAATAATAATAATAATAATAATAATAATAATAATAATAATAATAATAATAATGAAGGAACTCGGTTCCTGTCTAAGAAAAATTAAAATAATTGACTTACGTTAGTTACAGAGTCTTTCTTTATAAATGTCACAATGAATGTGAAGTTGAGTTTTACTCCATTTTGGTTCTGCTCTGCGACAGAGTTCTCTTGCAGACCAAACTATTTGTGCTTTTCTCCATGGAGATTTCTTTCTACCAGTCAAAACCTTTACTTTAATTGGGGCAATGGAATCAATGATATATGAAACTTTAGACTGAAAATCATCTACCAACTGATCTACATCATTACAGCTTAAGGGTGAGGAAGAAGAGTAGATTTGATTAAATGTTTCTGCTGTTTTCTGTGAAGGAACGTTTTGTGACAGTAGCTGTTTGTCCAAGTGGGTCAAAGAATAAAGAACTTTCATAGATAACAGCAAAGTGATCCGACAGGGCGACATCAGTTACAGAGACATTGGAAATATTCACACCCTTACTGATAACCAGGTCCAGTGTGTGTCCTTGAGTGTGTGTTGCTTGTTTGACATGTTGTGTTAAACCAAAATTTTCTGAAATCACAACAATAATTAAACAATCATAATCAATGCATATGAGAGATAAAAGATCATTCAAGTCAGTAAAGAAATTTTCCACATATGCTGGAGTTTTGTATAAAGTTAGTGTCAAAGTTGTTTGAAGCCTTTAACCTGAATTCCAAGATACTCAAAAGATGTGAAATGACCCAAAGACATTTACTACAGTTTATGGTATTTTTAAATATAGAAGCCACGCCTCCTCCTTTTTTATGCTTTCCATTCTCACTTAAAAAATTGTAGTTAGGAGGCGCTGATTCAATGAGTACAATTTGGTCATTATCGTCATTCAACCATGTTTCTGTCAGAAACATCAATTATACTCAGTGATGAAATCATTAATTAATAGAGCTTTAGCATAGAGTGATCTGGTATTTAAAAGATCCAGTTTAAGTGACTTGGTGGCTGATAGTTCATCAGTTTGAGGTTTGAATTAGGACCGCTGTATTTCATATTTCTGTTTTTGCAAAAAAAAAATTGTAGTGATCCTGTTCTGCAGAACCCGGGGGCCAGACACATTCTGGATGGAGACGGGTGTAAAGATAATATCTGGTCCCCGGCCTCAGACCTCAGAAACGCAGAGTGATGGATCCTCTGGGAAGTCAGGGGCAGGTTGCTTAAATGTAGTGAGGTCTGCTACGTGAGTACTAAGGAGAGACGTGCCGAGGCGAACCTGTTGATTCATTCCATCTGTAAATTTAAGAAACTCTGGTCCGGAAGACATTTCTTCATTGGTATCTATTGAATCCTGTGAATGCTTGGAGGAGCAGAGAGGGAGGGGGGAAGGAGTGAGGGAAGCAGTCGCTCCGTCTCCAGTCGATTTATCAGCTTGTTTTGGAATATCATGCTCCTGATCCTGATCTGCTGTTGTTGTATCAACCTTCCAGACCTCTCAGGTTCTGGTTCTGGTTCTGCTCTGCATCCCCAGAAGCAGAACCAAGAGAGGAGAAACAGCTTTCAGCATCTATGGACCAAAAATTTGGAACAAACTTCCAGAAAACTGTAAAACAGCGGAAACCCTGACTTCCTTCAAATCTCAAGTAAAAACGCACCTGTTTAGAGTTGTATTTGAAATGTAATATGTATGGATTTGATTTTGTGGATATGTATGTAATTTTTTTTTTTTTTTTTTTTTTTTCCTGTTGTGGGCAACGGGGCCCGGCGAATACCCGTGGTTAAACGGACGGCGGAGTCCGGCGGTTAACAGGCGCTTAAATTCCGTGTCAAAGGGAAGGGGGGAGAAAGGGAAAGAAGAGGGAAAAAAAAAAAAAACTTGGTATTTTATTCTATGTTGCATGCCTTTGTGTTTTGTGTTTATGATGTAAAGCACTTTGAAATGCCTTGTAGCTGAAATGTGCTATACAAATAAAATTTGATTGATTGATTGATTGATTGATCCGGGGAGCGTTCCATCCTTGTCAGACATCCTTGAGCCTGTTCTTCTGACGCGATGATCACTTGGCCATAGACCATCCTGTGTCCATATTTTCATCTTCTGAACACCCCCACTAGAACTAGCCATCTTGATCCACTCACAGTCCAGATTATGCCAAAAACCACCTTAGAAATCAACTTAGTATTCGCCAAAATAACGTTTAAGCGCCTCCACTTTCAAAAATTCTATCATGATGGGTGTGTATTCAAGCCCACATGCAGAACACAACACAGGAGATGAACATGAAATAAATAAGTTTATTGGAACACTGCTGGTTTGGTTATGGAGGCTCAGGTCAGGTCCAGGGAGGGAGGCAGGTTCAGGGAACAATCGGCTCACTAGAGAAGCAGAGTACGGTGGTGAGTTCAGGGTCGTGGGAAATGACAACATAGTGAGTGAAATGGACAGATCTTACTTGTGGACGGTAGGTTCGAGATGTGAGGGCGTAACTGCAATGTCCGGGGTCTCAGTCTCTCCGTCACTACGGAGTGGTTCCAGGTGGTCGTTGTGTATGTCAGCAGGAACCCAGGAGGCAACGGGAAGCATGTCAGAGGGCGGAAAGGTAGGCTCAGGATCAGTGGGTTCAGAGGAGCGGTGCGACTGCCAGCCGTGGAAATCCTGGAGGAACTTGTTGTCACACGGAGAAGGTGAGTCTGGGAACTCGGGCAACCAGTGGGTACGTTCCACGGCGTTACCAGGAAAGGCTTGATCAAAAAGCCAGGAAGGATCAGCATAGAGTGGAACCAGGGTGTGAGGAGGGATCACCTGAAGGTAGGAGAAGCAACAAGGAAACAATCACTAGGAGCAGCCCAGCAAATAACACCAGAGACAAGCTGTAGGGGCTCAGAGGTACCGTTACTGGCTAACACTCAGGCGCCGAAGGACAGGCAGTCAGCTCCTCTTGAACCTTCCGCTGACGAGCTAAACTCTCATCAGGTGTGCAGGTGACATCATACATGCCCACCGACGGAATGGATTTGGTGCCATCTAGTGGTGGAGAAAAGCGAGTGCACGCACAAAAACTCCACAAAGAAATTAAGGACCCCGGAACATAACAAATCCGTGTCCTCCAATCAGCAACCACCAGTCCAACGAGCTCCTTCCAGGGACGGACCATTGTCAATTTTCACTCTCAGCATATATTTGAACTTCTCTCTTTTAGTTTTTTTAGTATTATCACAGTTTTTAACAAATTCTGTAGCTTTTGGTGTACTTTTACATTTGCTCGCATCTTTTCATCCCTGCTAACTGCCTCTAGTGCTTAACTTATTATAGTTGATCATGTTTTTCATTTCTTTTGTTCCTTCCATAATTGATTAGGATTAGGGTTAAGTTATTTTTTTTATGTCATTTAATTAGCTCTACGTCTTTAAGGAAAAGAAAATATATGGTGTTTTATGAGATAATTTATCTTAAGAGAGGTCCTTCTCGGCTGCCTGTACGGAAACCCCCAGAGGACATGGGGAATTTTTTCTTTTGCGTTCCCTGGCAATACTGTACTGATCAGTTTATGTGGCATAACTGAATACTGTCAGCCTTTCTTACGGTGGCTGCCGTACTTTCTATTTTATGTGAGGTTTTTCCATGAATGTTAATACCTCTTTGTGAAATATCTGAAGTTTTATATCTTTTTCTTTACGATAGAAAAGCGCCACAAGCCTAAGATATAAACAGAAGCGTTCCGTAAATAGAAAAGAAATAAACAAACATTCTAATTTGGACTATTTCTGAGTTATTATCGTAGGAAAGTCTTCTGACAGTTTTAATTGTGTCTCTGTTGTGTTCGCAGTTTGAATGGTTTGACGAGCTGCTTTTCAGTGCTGTTCCATCTTAAACATGCAGAAAATAAATACCACCATTAGTTTGCTGTGTCTTATAATAAAAAATGTGTTATTATTATGAAGTCTTTGGTGCAAAAAACTCATTAAAATCGATTTATTCACTGCATGTTTTTGTCTGTTAAGGTTGAGATGGAACTAAACATGAAAATGGCCCTTTAAACCATTCAGACTACAAACAGAGACACAATCAAAACTGTCAAGATGACTTATTACCCCATAATAAGTCAGAAATAGTTCAAATTAGGATTTATTTTTATTTCTTTCCTAGTTACGGAAAGGTTTGCAGTGCCTTTTTATCCTCGTCAATGCAAAGGCACTGCATCCCCAGTATTGCGGGGATGCAAAACCTTTTGCGAGGGAACACAAAAGAAGAAAAAGTCAAATGTTTCCCAGTTTCAAACAAAAATGTGTGATTCATTCAGGTAAAAAAATAAAATAAAATAAAGAAAAAGCTTTTAAGGCAATCTTTTTGTTTGTTTTAAAAAAAATCTTAAAATTTGATTGAGATATTTTTTTATGTTTTTTTTTAATCCAAAAGTTTTGATCACAACTCTTTTTTTATTTGACATGATTTTTTATTATTATTTTTTATTATTATTGAATGATTGTGAAACAAATTTAACTCCATGTAAAACAAGTCATATAATCATGTCATGGTTATAACTTTCAGTTTAATCGGCAGCTAACGAAATTGTAAAATAAATAAATAAACTCTGTTGTGGAGTTCCTCTTAAACGATTTGTGTTGTTTTTTTTTTATCTCAAAGAGAATCTGTCTTTTTCCAACTTTTGTCATTTAAACACAGGTTTTCAACACATTGTATTTAATTTTTCTTTGTTGATATAATAGGATGGAAGCTGGCTGATAGCCAGGGCCCACCTAAGCCTCCTTAGCAAAATTTGGTTTTGATATAGGATCCATTTATCGGTCAACCGTTTTATTGGCCAGTCCATTTCTGGGTGCCCATTTTCTTAATTTTGGATAGATGTGAAGAATCTGATCTTACCTTTATAAGCAAAGGTTAAAAAAATCAGTCTCTGTCGTTTTCTGCTTTGCAGTGAGAAATTTGACAGACAGACTGCCCCACCAGGTCATGTTTGCAGTTAAAAATATTCACAGCACTGTTGCCAACTCAGTGACTTTCTTGCTATATTTAGCAACATTTCAGACAAAAAAAAATTGGTATCAACCGAAATCAAAATTGGCGGGTCAGGCTTTTTTTTAAATTAAATTAATTTATATTAAGCGTAACTCCAATAGCTAAATATTTTATTTACACCAGGTGAGTTTTTCTGCCCTGAGAATGTGGACCAGAACCGGGTTGATTCTGAGCCTTCAAATGATTTTAACAAAAGTTTCACATAACTTAGAAGTTGAATTAAAAACATTGTTTGTCTTAACCACATAAATGATCAGCTGCAAACAACATATCACCAACTATAGCCTGATGGAAAAAGAATTTTCAATGTCAAACATTGAAAAGTTTTAATTATTGTTATCAAACACGCCGTTTAGAAGCCAAAAAAACCCTTCAGAAATATACAGAGAATCAACTGAGAATAAACTCATTAAAGTGGAGGCAATTAATCTGGGTCTCTGCTCCAACTGAAAATATGGAATAGTCCCTTATTTGGCTGCTAAATGGCATCCCGTACTGAACCAATACGAGAATGGATATGTTTATCATTGTCTGATAGACATGCCTATAGATAGACATTAGCATTAATACTCCAATCCTATGGTCGCTCTGATTATTATTATTGGAAATTTATATTACGAACTTTATCACTGAGAGAAACACATGGATTAACGTTACATGGATTAATTGCACACAGATGTTTGAAAGTCTTTATTTCTGTTGATTTCCCACTTACAGCTAATAAAAACATGACACTTAAAATGACAATATTACACTGAACCAAGAAAAAAGAATTAAAAAATGTAAAAACAGAAATGTTGGCTTAAAGGAAAGCACATTTTATACATGCTTAAAGGTAAGTATAAAATATGCTTCTATTTTCAAAAGGTATTTTTAATCTGACAAATGAGACTCATCAGGATGTATATAACGTGCTTTATAAACATTTATTTTTAGTATGTAATAATTACTATAATTATAATTTCCTATCAGTCTGATCTTTTGTTTTTTATAACTAGTGAGGGAGGAGTTGATGAATGTCAGAAAAAAAACCTGATATTGTGAAAAACAAAAGACAAATGAAATTAAAATATGGTTATTGAAAGAAACCGCCTAATGAACATGATTTATGTTCTGATGAATGTCAGATCAATGTCACACAGGACCATATTGCCAGAAGTCCTGCCTGTAGCAAATACTCTACTAGATCAGTTTAATGGATGTAAAGTCAGAAGCTGCCAGCTAAACCCTTTTGTGGGCATGAGGTTACGCTCTAATACAAGGATAATTAGGAAGAAAATAAAGTTTTTGTCATTTAAATGTTAGGTATATATTTTTCTTCCCCAATAGCCCTGTTTTGAAAAAAATATATATTCATACAAGTACCAGAGAACAAAAAAGGAAAAAAGAGAACAAGAAAATAGCTTTTTTAGAACAAGAACTCAAAGAAATAAAGCTGATTGGAAGACATTTATTCCCTTGGTATTTTTTTTATTTCATATTTCTTTCTTTTGTTTTACTTATTTCAATATATTTTTCCAAAAGAACTCTATTTTATTTGAAGAATTGTTTAGTTCATCATTGAAATAGTTATCTGATGTTTGTTTTTATCTTGTTTTATTGAAATAAATCTGTCAGATTACTACAAACCATTTAATTTCAATCTATGGCTCTCAGGAGTAACCATAGATTTTTATGGTAACCATAGATTGCTAAGTATGAAATATGCTAATTTTTCAACATACAGTTGAAAAATTCTTGAGAGGAATGAAAAGAGGAGACAATAGAAGCCTATAAGTTTTCTATTATAGGCTTCTATAATAAGCTTACCTAACCCAAAATCTAAATATTTATTGATTTAGATTTAGATTCAGACAACCTAATGTGCATCTCTAAAATCACTCTGTCTAACGGGATAGCAATAATGCAAAACGAGCAGGCACAAAATGTGCTGTTTCTACTAATCCAATATTTTATCTTCACATATAAGTAACAGGTAACGGTTCCTTTGCTTGATAGTCACACAAATTCATGTTCCTATGCACAAAGTTGAAGTGTTGATGGTTCACTTCTGGGAAACTTCATCCCACTGGGGTTCTAAAACAAAAAACACAGCTTTATCATTGAAATTATTTAACGCCAACATCTTTTTTTAAAATTAACTTATCTTCAACAATAGATGCAGAAATATACATTTAAAATCTTTAAACTGCGGCTATCTAGTGACAGTACAAAATCTGAAAGAAAAAGTGAAGAAACAATTTCAGAAGTGCTGTGGGGACATAAGGAGAAGCACAACCCAGATATGGAGGCAGTAGTCATAGGTTTGAATCCCAGCTTAGGAAATATATATATATATATATATATATATATATATATAGCTCAATACATAAGGCATCAGTATATCACCCGAGAGGGCGGGGTTCAAATCCAGTCTGGGTCCTTAGGCAAGACCCTTCAAGCTACTGCCTACCTCATACCATGAGAGATACTAAGCCTAACCCAGGATCTACAGCACTGACATTGGGATGTCATTCGGACTAGAGAAGTGTGGTCGGCTGATCACAAAGAGGGGGAAGGTCATCCGCACAGAAGGAGTCTCACTCCCTCAAGGAACAATAGCAGACATAGAGGACAGTTACAAGTACCTAGGTATACCACAAGCAAATGGCAACCTCGATGAGGCCACAAGGAAAGGAGCCACAGCTAAATACCTCCAACGAATAAGGCAAGTCCTGAGAAGCCAGCTCAATGGCAAGAACAAAATCCGTGCGATAAACAGCTATGCCCTGCCAGTAATCAGATACCCTGCTGGAATAATTAGCTGGCCAAAGGAGGAGATAAAAGCCACAGATATTAAGACTAGAAAGCTACTAACCATGCATGGAGGGTTCCATCCCAAATCCAGCACCCTGAGACTGTACACGAGCCGCAAGGAAGGAGGCAGAGGACTAGTGAGTGTGAGAACCACTATCCAGGACGAAACAACTAAGATCCATAAATACATCAGGGACAAAGCCTCAACAGACAATGTGCTCAGTGAATGTCTCAGACAACAGGGAACGGAGGTTGAGGTGCCAGAGATACCATCATGGGAGGACAAGCCCCTACATGGGATGTACCACCAGCAAATAACCCAAGTGGCTGATATCAGTAAATCCTACCAATGGCTGGAAAAAGCTGGACTCAAGGACAGCACAGAGGCCCTCATCCTGGCCCAGGAACAGGCCCTAAACACCAGAGCAATAGAGGCCCAGATCTACCACCAGACAAGACCAAGGTGTAGGTTGTGCAAGGAGGCCCTGAGACAGTCCAGCACATCACAGCAGGGTGCAAGATACTGGCAGGGAAAGCGTACATGGAATGACATAACCAAGTGGCAGGCATAGTGTACAGAAACATCTGTGCAGAATATGGACTGGAAACCCCGAGATCAAAGTGGAAACACCCCAAAGGTGGTGGAGAACACCAGAGCTAAGATCCTGTGGGACTTCCAGATCCACACAGACAAAATGGTAATGGCGAACCAACCAGACATTGTCGTAGTGGATAAACATCAGAGGAAAGCCGTTGTGGTAGATGTAGCAATACCAAGTGATTGCAACATCAGGAAAAAGGAGCACGAGAAACTGGAGAAATACCAGGGCCTCAGGGAAGAACTGGAGAGGGCCTGGAAGGTGAAGACCACAGTGGTGCCTGTGGTCATCGGGGCCCTCGGGGCAGTAACCCCCAAACTGGATCAATGGCTACAACAGATCCCAGGAACAACATCAGACATCTCAGTCCAGAAATGTGCAGTCCTTGGCACAGCCAAGATACTGCAGGACCCTCAAACTCCCAGGCCTCTGGTAGAGGACCCGAGCTCAGAGGATAAGAACCACCCGCGGTGGGTGAGAAGGGAATTTTATTTTTTTTTGGTTGCATTGTTTGTCCAAAGAAGCTGAGTGCCCATGCTCAATGTCACATCAAAATGCTATTTCTGAAAGACAACCACAGGAGTGCTGTCAGCATTGCTACAGAGAGAGCTACAGGTGGGACAGCAGTGCTCAGACCGTACACCACACACTTCATCAACTTGGTCTGCATGGCTGTCACTCCAGAAAGAAGCCTCTTCTGAAAGTCTGCACACAACAAAGTCTGCAAACAGTTTTCTGATGAAAAGTCATCAAAGGACATGGATTTCTGGTCTCATCAGGTCCTGTGGTCTGATGAGACCAAGATTAATTCTTTTGGTTCAGATGGTCTCAACCACATGTAGCAGCTGTCAGGTGAGGAGTACAAAAATAAGTGTGTGATGCCTACAGTCAAGCATGTTGGTGGGAATGCCATGGTCTGGGGCTGCATGAGTGCAACAGGTGTTGTCATGTACTCCGATCTGTACTGTGAAATACAGAAACAGAGTCTGATCCCTTTCCTCTGGAAATTGGGTTACAGAGCAATGTTCCAGCAGGATAATGACCCCAAACACACCTCTAAGATGACCACTGGTTTATTGAAGAGGCTGCAGGTAAAGGTGATGGACTGGGCAAGCATGTCTCCAGACCTAAACCCAATAGATCATGTTTGGGGCATCCTCCAGTGGAAGGTGGAAAAGCGCAAAGTCTTGAATGGCCCCTAACTTTGTGATGTCATCATAGAAGAGTGTTAAAGCATTCCAATAGCAACCGGTGAAGCTTTGGTGAATGAACTCCATTTTTGATAAATAATGGTGGCCATACAAAATATTGACAGTTGAGGAACATTGACTAAAGGGTGTACTATGAATTGGGAATGGGATGTCACTTAGGCTAGCTATGCATGTATGTATGCATGTATGGTAGCATTTCTCAACAGGCATGTAAAAATAAAAGCCCCACCGCTTGCTGTACTTGTGCACACACAATGCAAACTTCTAAAAGGTATAGTCCTGCTTACAGGTTCACATAGACTGCGGTGAGCTATGCTTTGTGAACAGAGAATAATATATTGCACATGCATCTCACTAGGGCTGAAACAATTCCTCAAATGATTCAAGTAGCTCAATTATTAAAATTCCTCAAGCTTCCTTGAAGATTCGTTGATTTATGTTATATTATTTAGCGCACTGTTCTGACCGGGACATTATTTGCGTTGTGTGGAGCTGTGACTTCCATCTCTGAGGCATTAATGATAATGCCTGGGTTTTCATTGCTGTAATGATTAAGGGGACCAATAATTATCCTTAAAATGACTGGCGCAATGCCTGGAGTACAGCAGCTTTTCTCCTCCGGGAGCTGCTGGTTCAAAGCCAATGGCAGGAAGAGCTGCCATTGGCAGGTATTTATACAGGTAAGTAGATAGACTGAACACGGCGGATGGCTGAGTAGTTGATGGTTACAGTGTAAGTGTAGCTTCATGGCCGAACCACACAATACATTTTATATCATCCCGGTCTCAACAAATGGGTGGCCGAGTGCATAGTGGCGGTACATGGCTGGTAGATGAGTGTGATGAACGAAGGTGCCCCCCCAAATCTAACTTTCGTCCCCTGGTCTCCCGGTCCCTGGACTTATGTTCGTCTATTTCCTCTTCCCACCCCGATCTGTCGATAGCCCGACACCCTGTGCCTCCGCATTCCAGGTGTTCTTTCCTGTATTTTCAAACCCAAAGCTTGGCAGGTATGGGGTAAGGTCATAATTCATCAATTAAACTGACTGAAGATGAATACATAAACTAAAAGCTGGATCATAGACATTTTTTATAAGCATATTTGTAAGCCTGCCTCTGTATCATTAATTAAAATAGAATTTCAGATCTTTGTATAACTTTTCTTCAGGTTAATTTAGAAAGTGAGCTATTATTTTTACAGGTTACTTTTCTAAACTACAAAAACTAACTTTTGGGGAAGCTCAAAAATGAAAAATTGGACCGATATTGATATCCAATAGTAACACTGGTGTTATGCCAGATTTACCAATATTTTATTTTATTATTATTTTTATCCAGTTACTTGATTAATCGTAAGAATAATTGATAGACTACTCAATTACTAAAATATTTGTTTACAACAGCCCTTCATCTCACACATGCTCACTCAATCCAAGCACTAGCTCTGTGTTGTGCTTTCAACTTGACAAAGTTTATGCCCACAAGTCATTTGTATCCAATCTCAAATGTATTCCTTGAAAATACTGCATTTGCTTGAATAAATAACCAATCACAACCATCTTGTGGTCGGAATTAGGAAAACACAAGGCTTAATAAAATGAGGGTGATAAGGGCCATGGTGGGTGCCCCATATTTTAATTTCTGAAAGGTGGCAACCCTAGTACCACAGGCTGATTCTGGAATGTTGTCTCATAAATTGGGACTTCTTTCTCCAATGCACTAATGTACCTGATAATATGTTGTGTTTTTCAAACTGAGTTTTTAGTGAGATTGCACTACTGCAATAAATGACAAATTCATAAAAAGGATATCTTCACATCACATATCTTCACTGGAATTGTCAAAAATTTTCCATCTGTATATATAACTAAATACCAAATATTCAACTGTTAACTCACCTGTAAATTTGAAATTAGGAAAACTGGTTAGGTCTCCACCACCATACAGTCTCTGTAGCTTTGCTATCTCCTCTTCCAAACCCTTTTGATACTGTGAGTCAGCATCAACCAGACCACCAGCTGCCCTGTTTTAAAACAGGTGAAAAACCAACTGATCAGCACCTCATGAGATCTTTTGCACAAAAGAGTATCATGATACGGAATGAAGTGTTAATGCTTACTGGGAATTTGTTGAGTATTCTCGTATTGAGTCCAAGAATAGCCTCTGCACTGGGTCCATATGACCTGAGTGTCACAGAAAGACAACAAATTAAATATTACTCAGAGAAGATTTTAGGTACAGCAAAAACAACAATTTTGTAGACTTTTATCCAATACTTTATAATACATTTTGATTTACTGAATCCGTTATGCATTATACAGCTTATTTGAAGATTAGATGGTAACTAGCTGAAGAGAGAGACTGTAGAGACTGTAGAAAAACAGATGTCTCTTGGATTAACTCATGTCCCAGAGAACTACCTTCTTGCAACTTTTAGATGCATCCCTTCTCCAAAACACTTGAATCAAATGACTAAATATATTCATTAGCAGTCATTCAGGCACTGCTAATGAGCAGTTCATTTGATTCAGGTGTTGGAGATGGGGCAAATATAACAGTTGCGAGATAAAAGCTCTTGAGCATTGCACTTGTGCTCCTCTGATAGGCTGCAGGTCATGGAAGATTTCAATTTACAATAGCTTATATATAACTGTTCAGATAGGTGACAAATATAGCAAAATCTGGATAGAATTTCAGAAAAGTAGTTGCCAATGGATCTCTGCATTTTAAGAGGTAGAGAACATGGAACAAGGGGACTTTCTTTTCTTATTTAGTTCATGCCACATTGATATATATATCCTAATTTGTGCGTAAAATATGGTGCTGCACATTTTTTTCTGACCAAGCCTTATAAAAAGCAGCCCTCTGTATGCACATTGCTGCATACAGAGGGTCTGTATGCAGCAATGTGCGTACGGACGATTAATAATTTTCTTAATTGTTTCTATTAAGAAACGATTGCATCCAGGAGGCATGGACTCAGTTGAAGTTTGAAACTTTACAGAATTATTAACATCTGTCTGATGTAATCCCTTGTGAGATGGAGCTTTAGCTCCCATCTCCAGCAGAACTTGGAACACTTTCTGGGGGAGGTGGGAGACATTGAGTCTGAGTGGACCATGTTCCGTGCCTCCATTGTCGACGCGGCTCACTGGAGATGCAGCTGCAAGGTTGTCGGTGCCTGTCGCAGTGGCAACCCTTGAACCCATTGGTGGACACATTCAGAGAGGGATGCTGTCAGGAACCCTATCAGGCCTTTTTGGCCTGTGGGACTCCAGAAGCAGCAGATGGGTACCGGCAGGCAAAGCGGCATGCATCTCAGGGTGTTGCTGAGGCAAAAATTCAGGCGTGGGAGGAGTTTTTGCCTCAGCAGGGGAAGCAGTGTAGCACCAACACTGTTTACAGTGGGGATGGTGGGCTGCTGACCTGACTCGGGACATTGTGGGTCGGTGGGCAGAATACTTCGAAGACCTCCTCAATCCCATCAACATGCCTTCCTTTGAGGAAGCTGAGCCTGGGGACTCTGGGTCAGGCTCTCCAATCTCAGGGGACGAGGTCACCAAGGTGGTTTAAAAGCTCCTCGGTGGCAGGGCCCAGGGGGTGGATGAGATTCGCTCTGAGTTCCTTAAGGCTCTGTATCTTGTAGGGTTGTGTTGGTTGATGCAACTCTGCAATATTGGGGCAGTTCCCCTGGATTGGTAGACTGGGGTGGTGGTCTCCCTGTTCAAAAAGGGAGGCCGGGGGGTGTGCTCCAATTATAGAGGGGTCACACTCTTTAACCTCCCTGACAAGGTCTATTCAGGGGTCCTGGAGAGGAGGGTCTGTCGGATAGTTGAACCTCGGATTTTGGAAGAGCATTGTGGTTTTCGTCCTGGTTGTGGAACACTGGACCAACTCTACACCCTCAGCAGGGTCCTGGAGGGTGTGTGGGAGTTTGCCTAACTGGTCTACAAGTGTTTTTGTGGACTTAGAGAAGGCGTTCAACCATGTCCTGTGGGGGGTTCTCCGGGAGTATGGTGTACCAGGCCCTTTGATACAGGCTGTCAGGTCCCTGTATGACGGGTGTCAGAGCCTGATCTGCATTTCCGGCCATAAGTCAGGCTCATTTCCGATGAGAGTTGGACTCCGCCAGGGCTGCCCATTGTCACCGATTCTGTTCATTACTTTCATGGACAGAATTTCTGGGCGCAGCCAAGGTTTTTAGGGGATCCGATTTGGTGGCCTTAGGATTACATTTCTGCTTTTTGCGGATGATGTGGTCCTATTGGCTTCATCGGGACGTGATCTGCAGCTCTCGCTGGAGCGGTTCGCAGCTGAGTCATATATCAGTGCACTGTTTTCCACCCACTTCCAATAAAGTGGAAGCATTGTTAAAAAATAAGTCAATTATTCAAATTTCTTTCTTAGACAGGAAGCCAGGGATGAGGATCAGTGCCTCCAAATTCGAAGCCATGGTCTTGAGCCGGAAAAGGGTAGAGTGCCTTCTCCGAGTCGAGGGGGGTGTCCTGCCTCAAGTGGAGGAGTTCAAGTATCTTGGGATCTTGTTCACGAATTAGCGCCCGCTTCTGCCGTGAAGCGGGCGCTGTACCGGTCCGTCGTGGTGAAGAGAGAGCTGAGCCAGAAAGCGAAGCTCTCGATTTACTGGTCGATCTACGTTCCTACCCTCATCTATGATCATGAGCTTTGGGTAATGACCGAAAGAACGAGATCGCGGATACAAGCAGCCGAAATGCCCAGCCACCTTCGTAGGGTGGCTGGGCTCTCCCTTAGAGATAGGGTGAGAAGCTCGGTCATCCAGGAGGGACTCAGAGTAGAGCCGCTGCTCCTCCACATTAAGAGGAGCCAGTTGAGGCTCGGGCATCTGGTCAGGATGCCTCTTGGACGCCTCCCTGGTGAGGTGTTTCGGGCACGTCCCACTAGGAGGAGGCCCTGGGGAAGACCCAGGACACGCTGGAGGGACTGTCTCCGGCCGGCCTAGGAACGCCTCTGGATTCCCCCGGAGGAGCTGGAAGACATGACTGGGAGAGGGAAGTCTGGGCCTCCCGTCTTAAGCTTCATCCCAAACGACCCGACCCCGGATAAGCGGAAGAAAATGGATGAATGGATGTCAGAGATATATTTAATGTATCCAATAAAGTTTATCGTAAATGTTGTTCACTGACAGAAATAAAGATTTTTTTCAATAAATATATAAAAATTAACATTAACAGCCTACTGTTAATATTAATTACATTTTTGTTAGCATGGTTAACATGGACTGAATGGCTTTGTTCACTTCCTCCACTGCCATTGCCAATATTAAAGGCAGACTACAAATCTAAAAGAGCGCAGAAAATCTACATCATCAGCATGTTTGTGTGTGTGAGGTGAAGCAATAATCTGTTGTGTCTATCCACAAACTGATTCTGAGAAAAGATTGGATAATAAAAACTTTATTAGAAGATATGTAAGTGAAAGTGACTTTATCTAGTCAATATTTTCATGTTAGTTTTTTTTGGAATGTACACGGCATCACCCCCATTTGTGGAATTCCTTTTTGAAGAATTCCACAAATGAGTTCCAGATATTAATAAATACAGCTAAATAATCTTTTTGCGTAAATTTAATGCTTTCCAGGTGTATATATTCAGTAAGAAGGTTAGTCCAGATGTTAATATGTAGTGAGTTTTTTAATTTCCAATTGAGAAGTTTTACTTTCTAGGTGATAGTTAGAAAATCAAGAAATGGCTTTTTGAATTTATCTGGAAATTGTCCAATTTCAGTGTGATTACCAATTATCAGAGAGCTGGTGAAACAGGGACTGTGCGACCCAAAATAGTAGAAAGTTTTTCAGTTACTGATATCCAGAAGAGTTGAGTAGTGTCCAGGTCCAAATGGCATGAAAATAATTGTCAATACTATTTAAAGTAAATTCATGATTAAACAAAAGGTAGGAGACAGGACAAAAATTGGATATCCTGGATACAAAAATTGTATCCTGGAAGAAACCACAGGAAACCAAAAGAACACAAAACACTAGCAAAAAACATGTTGACAAATTGTCTGTGGTTCATTGAGACAAAAGTGGAATTTTTTGTGAGTGCGGTACAAAGTGAACATCTTTTAATAAAAAGAACATATTGTTCAAACATGACGTAAGCTATATGATCTGGGGCTGCATTAGAATTCAGATGTCAAGCTATAATTGAATCGTAAATTCTATTGTGTGCTGTAACAGATTTTTTTAAAAAAAATCATAGAAATATCACAAGCTTACAGCAAGGATTGTGTGACCTCCTGAATAAAAGAATGCTCAGGCGGCACCACCAAGTGAGCCTCTGCATTAATGGCTTAAAACATTATTTGGAAGGTTGTGTGTTTAAACTCATCTTTGTTGCTGAACTAAAACAATTGTGCAATGAAGGATAGGCCAAATAAATATTGCCGGCTAATGTGAAGGCTTGAGGTAGTTATTACTGCCAAGGGTTATGAAACCATAGATTAAGGGCAAATGCATTTTTAATTCAAATTTGTTTGACAATTTGAAATATTTGTGTGTAACAGAAACAAAAAACCCCTCCAAGAAATCTGTGAGGGCTGAAATATTTGTATCCATATATCGCTTCTGGTCACCATTCGCAGTATCACAAAGAAAGAAGAGTCCAGTGTTTGAACCAAAATGCTAAGCTGTCCCATCATTCCACATGTCTTTACTCAGTCTTAATAGTACTTTAAATTTTCATTTGTCACCCATCTGTTTGTTACCAACACTCTGGTTAACAAGTAGGAACATTTACAGTTGGAAAGAAATTTGATGAAAAAAAAGCAAAACAATCTAAACGTTTCCACAACAATCAAGATTCAGTCTCATAATGTGATTTTTTATATGAAAGGAGTTGAAGAGAAAATCACATTTACCTGTTACATATAAATAAAGTGCACAAGTCAGACATGTCAGTACTATTATTGCCATGCAATTTGCAAATAAGACATAAAAAGTAACAGGTGAGTATATTTAGTAAAGTCTGAAGTACTGAAAGGTGTAACCAGCTGGAAAACAACGACTTTCATATTCTCCATTGTTAGTTTAAAAATTGAAATGAACAATATTTTTAACTGGGGGTGAGACTATGAATCCTTACATCAAAGTTTCTATATAAATACTTCCAAATCTTTTGGGAATATAAAAATGTAATTTTGTAAAGGAAAAATATAAATTTAGAAGCACAAACCAAAGTAACACATTTTCTAAGGGTACATAAATTAATGACAAAATTGACACTTTTCATTAATGCAAGCCCATGCATCACGAGAGACGCCCAACAGTGTAAAACATGTGACAACAAAGTGAATTAATGCTGCATTTCATTGAACTCAGATGGGTCTGACTTCTGACTCTTTAAATTAATTTCCAGAGTATCCAAATTTGGCATTTGACTTGAAAAAACTAAAGCTTTACTTAAATCGTAATCCATCATGTCTGCCTCACACATAGCTCCGGCAGTAAACCATTTATTTGCACTTCTGTCACTAATCTCATTAAACCACTTTCATAAAATATATTAAAGTGATTTCTATATATACATTACATAGAAATGACTTGGCTAAATGTTTGTATGGAATAAGCACATGTCAATTAATCTGGGTAACAGCAATTACATTTTCTTTTTCCCCCTCAACATGCAACATGTTGGGAGTGACATCATTCCGCAGTGAAGATAAATGAAAGCAGCATAGAAGGTTAAATAGAGTAAAATAGGGCAGACAACAAGGTAAGATATGAGGAGCAGTCAGTTTCTAAAAGCAGTAGTTACTTGTTGCAGATATTCACCAAGTAACACTGAGAAAGACCACTAGGACACATTCTCTGAGGCTAAGAAGAAAAAAGTGCCTGGTTATGTAGCATTTTTCTGTAGAAATACAGGTTCCACAGGAGAAAACAGAAGGATTGTAGGGAGGGGAAAGTTATAGTGTGTACCCTGTGATGGTCCAACTGCTTCAGCAGGGGAATCCAGCTGCTGCTCTTCTTCAGCAGTCTTGGAAAGGACCCAGGCAGGGTCCACAAGATCCTCAGAGCCAGGAACTACATTTGTAGAATCAGTCATTTCTGCCACAGGGTCCAGCACCACCTCTTCTTCAGGCTCTGGCACAGAATCTGCAGGGTCTGGTTCTGACATAGCTGCTTCTGCCACAGGCTGAGGAACTGCTTTTGCCATGGGCTGCAGGGATGCTGGAAGGTCTGCAGTTAGAGTTTCAGGTACCCCATCTGACACAGTTCTCAGTGTCATTTTCGTTGCAAGATTTGGAGATGGCTCTGTGGGAGCCACTTCCACCACAGGCTCCAGGGACACCTCTTTGGGGGCTGCTTCTGTCAAAGGCTCCAGGGACACCTCGTTGGGGGATGCTTCTGTCAAAGGCTCCAGGGACTCCTCCTCGGGGGCTGCTTCTGTCAAAGGCTCCAGGGACACCTCGTTGGGGGCTGCTTCTGTCAAAGGCTCCAGGGACACCTCCTTGGGGGCTGCTTCTGTCAAAGGCTCCAGGGACACCTCCACACCACCCCCTTCCACCACAGACTTTAGAAACCCTTCTGCAGGAGGTGTTTCTTCCACAGGCTCTATGGATCTCTTATTTGCCACAGCTTCATGAATTACGTTCAGGGCCCCATCTACCAGCACAACGTCCACAAATGGATCAGGAGCCAATTCTACAGAGGCAGGAGCAGGATGCATAGGGACTTGTGGCACATCAACTACAGGCTCATCAGCCACTTTGGAGGCCTCTAAAATTAGAGCGTCTTCTCCTGGAAAGTCTTCAGGAACTTCAACAATAGATTCAGCAGTTGTTATTTTGGAGGGTACACTTTTAACAAAGGATGTTGTCACTGGTTGAGTTGTTATGTCATAAGTGGTTGCAATAGTTTCAGCTGAAGCATCAGGGGACGTGTGCTTTGTGGCTACAGAAGCTATGGCTTCCAGTGAAGCTTCATTTACTGTTGAGGCAGTTGGAGAAACTTCTTTCTTAGGGAAGTTACATGGCTTGTGTTGAACAAGTTTTTCTATGTCGAAGTATGTTTTAGGCTTGCTTTTGTCTAGAATGAGGGACGTTCACCAAACAAAATACATTATTTTATGTTCAATCAGAAATTGCATATGATTAGTCATCAAAATGTCTAATACAAGTATGGGATGTAAAAAATATCATACTAGCATATGGAAAAGTGAAAGGTTTAGGGAAAACAGCCCTTTAGTCTTTTAGGCTGTATGAATGAGTGCACTTGTCAACATAGTGAACTATTTTGAAGTCAAAAAGAAAAATGCTCAGTGGAAACAGATCAAGAAAAAACAAATAAAATGAACTGTGGCACAATGATCACTGACTAATAATAATGATAATAATTGGTATCATTATTATTATTATTATCATCATCATCACCATGACTAAAAAAATTTCAAAGTTTACTAGGATAAAGACATTTCATCAAGCTAGTACCACAATCTGCTGAGTTGGAGGTTTCACAAACAGTGTGGGGCAAGTTAGTTTTAACCCTCTCCAGGCAGATGTTGCAGATTTGCAACAACTCAGTGCTACTTAGCTAGTCTTTGCAAGTAATTTGAGCCTGAGAGGGTTAAAAAGTAATCAATAATAGTTACTTTTTCAAAAATATAACTGTTATGTAGGTAACAGTTTAAAGCAACTAATTACAAGTGAGACCAACCTGCTATCTGTCTTATGATAAAGGTTCATCTTAATTAGGTTAAAGTGGTCAGAACTTTCTGCAACAGACCGGTGACCCCGCCTTTCGCCCGGAACACCTTTATTTGGAAATAGACACCAGCAACTCCCGACCCCAATAGGGACAAGGATGAACAGAAAATGGATGGATGGATGGATGGTCAAAACTTTCAAGAAAAAAAGTGGCTGAGGAGATACGGCTTTAATTATGTCAGTAGATGACCGCATTGTATTGTTGGGCATTTAACATGGATGTCTCATGCTAAGTCTGGTTCAATTTGACCTTTGCATATGAAAGATATAGTGTTTTGTTTGCTTTAGTAGGCAAGCTAAGTTTGCCATTTTGTCCCCACCCCATAAAGAGTTTAATATGAAGACCAAGCAGTCATATGGGACACTTGGATTTGGCTGAAAATAAGGGAAACCTCAGTTAACATGGAACAGTTGGCAATCTTACCTGTGCTTTCAGTAAGCTTACTTTATTGAAATATAAAGTACACAACTCACACACAACAGGGCCACTTAAAATGATCAGTTTCTCAGATTTTACTTTGATTTTACTTTTTATAGGTTGTGAAGAGAAGTGGAGTTTTGATGACTATATTAAGACCTTTGTGACAACTGAGGATGAAGAATCTGCTTCTTGACATCCCAGCATCCCAGACGAACCTCTTCTTCTCTCCTGGGGATTAGGGTTCAGAACTGCAGGAGGGTGTTGGACTCCCAGCATGTGAAAGGTCTCACCTCGAGGAGGGGGTGTCAAGAAAATCCGAGATAATCTCACTTCCCCATGATGGAGATTTTAGTTAACAGTAACAATAAATAAAGTTGTCTTTAAAACTAGTCACAAGTGACATCTAAAGCCAACAGTAGACCCAGTCTGCAATAAAATAAATCTGGTTGTGTGTGTTATTTTATAAAGCTTGTAAATTTATAAAAAATAGCTGAGACTATTTATTGTTTCACAGCATGAAAGTTTTATAGGATGAAATCTAAACATTTTGAGTAATTAGATAAGATTTACTTACATCAATATTGGTTTACTTATAATAATACTTACTCTTGTGGGAACACTTACAAGTAAAACAAGTAACTGTAACTTTGGTATCAAATAATTACAGTAACAGATTATTCTTGGTTTCTTTTCAGAACAACTGTAATAACTCACATTATGATTAAAATAAAAGTAATAAGTTATGGTTATCATAAAATTATAAATGAATGCTAAATCTAAGAAACTAAAAGGGTTATGAATGTGATTTTAACATTGAACTTGAAATGGTGTAAAACGTGTAACTGCAATGAAAGATCACTAAGGGGCCCCCCCGATTTTTTTGGTAATAATTTCTATGTCATTATAATATCAAAATACACAATTTCATTATGAAGTTATTTGTTTTTACAATAATATATATTTTATAATGTATGTAGAAATTAATTTCTTGATGAAAAGAAAACAAATGCTCTTGGGGGCCCTTAGTGGCTGTGGTAGGTACCGCACTCTTGGATATAACATGAGCTGCTGTGCTTTTTTGAAACAATGTTTCAAAAAAAGGATTTATGCTTCAGAGGGAGAAAAGAAAGAGGATGAATAGAAAAAAAAAACAAGATAAAGGTTTGTTTTAATGTGCCTTGCAAACGTAATGTAAAAGATTTGTAAAGCTGCTAATAGAAAATTAGCATGAACGGTCCAGTCCAACAACGAAACATTTATGCTAGGGTCTTTATGTTTGTGCGAAACTGAGTTTTAACTTTAAGTGAGATGGTTCTCATGGTTGGCTCTGAATATTTCAGAGGTATTTTTGGCTGCAAAACACCATGTTTGATAATGTTTAATAACAATAATTAAAACTTCTCAATGTTTGATATTGTCTAGCAAAATGTTTTCCCATCAGGCTACCTGCCTACTGCATTAATAAGTTGATGAGCTGCTCTATGGTGTAGTTGGGATTTGTTGTTTGCTGCTGAGCAAAATCATATTGTGGCTAAAACAAACATTATTCTTTACATCAACTTCTAAGTTATATGAAACTTCTGTTAAAATCTTTTGAATGCACAAAATCAGTCCAATACCGGTCCACATTCCAGGGGAGAAAGACTCACCTGGTGTAAATTACATTTTTAGGTATTGGAGTAACGCTTAAGAGAAATTTATTTAATCAAAGAATGTCATGAATGTTTGTGTATGGCTGCACCGATTGCAGTATTCTAGCCAATCCCTGGTTTCCGATCTTTAAAAGCCAGACCAGCCGATTTTGATTTTGGCTGATATGAATTTTTTTTTTGTCTGAAATGTCGCTAAATATAGCAAGAAAGTCGGTGAGTTGGCAACAGTGGCCTGTTCAGTATCTGTACAGTATAAGCATACAGTATCTGTACGCTTGTGTTAACTGTAAGCTTACAGATACAATCTGGTGGGAGTCTGTCAGTTAAACTTTTCACTGTGGAGCAGAAGAGGACAGAGGCTGATTTTTAAACCTTTGCTGATGAAGATCAGTTTAGGGGTTAAGATGGGCTTCATGTGTAAGTATCACAATTCCCCAAAATTAAGGAAATTATCACTCAGAAATCAATTGGTCAATAAGTCAGTTTGCCAATAAATGTATCCTATATTATACATGTATATAATGTAAACATCACTGCTAGAGATACAATAAGTTTATAGTAGGTGTGTGAGCGATCTGATGATCAGACTGCTAATTGCAGCCAGTCCACATTATTAGCAGAACCTGAGGGCCCCAAACCACATTTCACTTAGGGCCACCCCTGCCGCCAGTCCTCATTCAGCCAGATCCCTGCAAGAAATTTGTTGAGGAGGTGGATGCATTGGCCACTGGAATAGAGGCAGTTCTGTCCCAGCCTTCTGGCTACACACAAGAAATATAGAAATATATTTTATTTCTAAATACACCTCTGGAGGCACCAGGTAGCACCAGGCTACTACCTGATCCATGATCATCATTTCATGTGCCAGTCTCTCTCTGACACAAATTGGTTATTGAATTAGTACAGCAAAGCCACCAAAAAAGTAGAACCGAGCTTCAGAAGAGGTAGATGACATTAAAAATTGACTTGGTGGAAGAGGCTAAAATATTGAGATTACACAACACAGAAAAAGACCAAAGGACTGTGTCACTGGAAATCCATGTTGCTTAGCAGGAGCAATATGCCACACTAAATGACATAGTAAACTGGATTAAAAATCTGACTACATTCTTAAGCACTAGCAGAGACAATAATGGATAAAGAGGTACCAAAAAAGCAAGATGGTGAATCTTTTGAGCTACATGTAACAGCTTTCCTGAATGCAAAAGGAATTGACACAAAATTGAAGCCTGTCAACCGCTGCCACAAAAAAGCAAGATGGACAAACCAGCTATAATAATGTGATGTGTGAGTAGAAAACAAACTTAAACTATTGAAACAAGGTCAAAAGCTGAAAGGTACTTACTTGTTCTTGAATGAACTGAAATCATGCTATTTGGGAATAGTAAGTCAAATCCCTATACATACATATGGTGTAAAAATTGAAAGAACAAGTGAATATAGATTTCTTGGGGTCATTGTTGATAATAAAATAACATGAAACCTAAAATTATAAATACACACAAAGTAAACTGTCAACAAGTCTGTTTATTTTAAATAAAGCCTAACATGTCCTGGAGGAAACAGCGCTCCATATTCTTTTTTTTTTTTGATATCTATATTTCTTTTTCCAAGGTTTTTGTGGGCTCTAGTGGTCCTTATATGAAGTAAGCTGACAGGAAAGAGGGCAAGGAGAGAGGGGAAGAGATGTGGCAAATGTCGCTGGGTCCGGGAGTCAAACCCGCAACGGCCACGTTGAGGACTAAGGCCTCCAAATGTGGGCTGTGCTAAACCCCTCCGCCACCGCAGCACGCCCCAGCGCTCCCTATTCTTCAGTGTTCCCTAGCCTACAGTGGCCCTGAAGTGCAAACCACTTCAGCAAATTGAAAGCACAATTACAAATGACAAAAGCCTACAACATGAACTAAGTGCTACAACATGAACAACGAGAAGACTTGCAATTATGCACTGTACTAATTATTGATATGGCAAATAATAAGAAAACTGATAAAACCAAGTTAAGAGTAAAAGGGGCGCCCATTCCTTTGAAGAACGTGTAAATATACTTTACTACTGTTCTTTTATTTTGTTTGCTTTTGTTTTAAATGCATTTGGTTAGTAAATAACTTTGTTTATTCTTTTATTACAGTACATTCAATAAAGCCAAACCAAACCAATTCCAGAAGTTGAAGCACTTTGTTCCATGCTGTTTGTATTGATTAATTCAAAGAAGTCATAGTTAAAATATCAATGTACACAATTTGCTGTTCCGTTTTTGTTCTATATGTTTTGATTCATCATAAAGCACAGGTGAGGGCTTTATGATGAAAATTAATCCTGTAATCATGGGGTGTTGCTACTATTCAGTACCAACGTCGGTCCTCCAGGATCAACTCTGGGCAGCCCTGCAGTAGCTTTTACCATTACGGTGTGAATGTGTGTGATGATTGGGTGAAAGTAGTTTGCAAGTTTACTTTTTTGTTTGTTTTGTTTATTATTTTTTTATATAATTCAACTTCTTCTAGTTTTTCTTTCAAAAGTTATTGTCAGCTTCCCCTTCTCAACAACAAAACCCCAAATGAACTCCAAGCCTCCAGAAGTAGAACATCCTCCTTGTCTAAATGTATGAGACAAAGGAACCTGTGCTTCAGTGCTTGAAGCTGTTCTTCTCTGAGTTTGTCTTTTCATTATGGACTCGGTCACTGGTCCTGTTTTTATGATCAATTCCTTGAAGGACTTTCTGAGGCTTTTTACATGCTTATCAAAAGCTGATTGAAGCATTTAGTATCCACAAAATGAGGCTGTCGATTGATGATAAAATTTAGAATTTTGAGTTTGTACTATAATTTTTATTTATATTAGTTTGCATTATGTATTAACATATTTCTTTGACGTTGATTTGTACATGATTTTATTTTTCTTTATTCCATTTATTGTTAATATAAAAAGGGCAGAAGCTGCTTAACTGAGCTGCTGGGATCTGACACTGTGTTTTATAGGAATAAACTGAAGCAGATCCTGATTCCAGTGTCCTGATTCCTGAGCCTGTTTTAGTGTTACACTGACAGAACAATGTGAGACAGAATCTGTCAAGGAAAATTAATGAATGAATTCATTCATTAATTCATTAATCAAGCTCCTCTGCCACCTCCTAGTGCCATCTCCAGAAATACCCAGAACAGGTCAGAAATTGTCTATTAGAGCCAATTACTTTAATAATCTTTATCTTTATGAAAAACAATTTAAACACAGCATGTTTCAGGGCTTGCAATGACCTGGTAACTTTCAATAACATGGAGATAAAGCTAATAGAAGGTGAAAAGCTATTTGCATGTACCAGGATAACAAAAGGTGTTCAACAAAAGTACGCAGTCATTTGTCATTTGGAAGGGGGCCCAAAACCTCCCTGAGCTTTTGGGCCCCATATCTCTCCAGGTTCAAGGTTTTCAAAATAACCTCGAACCTGATTACACTCCAAAGACCTGGGGTTTCAGTTCCCACTCTTTAGTTCTTTTGGGTTTTTTATCTGCTCCAATATTAGGATATCTATACCACTCATGGAAATGATTAGATCAACGATTTTTGTGCCACAGTTCAAATTTCATTTAAAATATTAGAAAAAAGTAAAACATAACCTAACAGCAGAACTTGTTTTCTAAAACTTACCTTTCCTAATTTTTTTTGATGAATTTTTGGATCCTGATGATTTTGTGCTGAAAGGCAAAGCTGTCGATGCTCTGCTCAGTATATTCCAACTCTGAGTTTTCAAGCACTGGCAGCACAACACAAAAACAAGAGAAATGGTTCAGAGTTTACTGTAACTGCAAATGCTTACAAAACTGCAGGAATGTTTCTACACACTTCCACTTGTTTAAGTCAAAGCAACATTAGTTATGGTTTTGATTATGGAATAATAACATGATATAAAGCTCAAAAAGTTCATTTTACAAAATACCATCCCATAACAGAGAAAAGACATGAAAACCTCAGCCTGAGTGTAATTAACCTACAGTTGAGGTCAAAATTAGTAGACCTTCTATGAAATTTTTCTTTTTTATCAAAAAATAAAATGAAATTAGTGATTCTTCAATACAGCTTTTCCAAACATCCTAGTCTTTATTTTAGATGATTGGTTTTCTTTGCATACAGAAACTAAATTCTTTCACAAAAACCAAAAACTACCAGGGTCAAAATTATTAGTCCCTTATTACCTATCAATTGTGTTCCATTTTGGCTGGATAACAACATGCTATAACAACAACTTATATGACATGACTTATGCAGAAATAGTTTTCATTTCACTGGGTTAAGTTCAAGAACTTGTTTTTAGAACACTATTTCGATATATAGCACGCCACTGGCAAACAGATCTGGGTCCATACTGATGTGGCTGTGCTGAGTGCAACATAGTGCTGACGAGGCAGTAACCAGCCCTGCAGCCATGCTCACTAACAGCATGTCGTACAGGGGTGGGCAGTTCCAGGCCTCAGGGGCCGATCTCCTGCAACATTTAGATGCGTCTCTACTTCAACAAACTGGAATCAAATAATGAGGTCAGTAGCAGGACGCTGGAGAACTTAGGAGGTGATTCAGCTGTTGGATTGAAGTGTATTGGACCAGGGAGCCATCTAAGAGTTGCAGGACACCGGGATTGCCCATCCCTGATCAAGCAGCTTTAACACTAAATTAAAAATAATTACTTATACATATTGGGCTTTCTTTGGGCTGAAAGAAAATATTGACTAACATGTTGCATTTACAGTTTTCTTCTGCTTATTTTAAGGCCAGCTGAAAAACCCTCCAGCATGTTTTAGGCATGGTTTAACTCCACAACACAGCCTTGTTGGAAAATTGAATAAAAGCTGAACATTTCTAAAAATATTCATTTCTAACTAGACAAGCCAAGTCATTATTAATGTGACATTGATAAGCATTTAGATTTTTTTTTTCTAAACCATGATCAGTAGGTCTAGGTCAGCTCACTTAGAGATGACCTTCGTTTTTTACAACTTAAGCTGCTTATAATGCTCTGCACAAACATCAATAGCTGTTGTTTTTATTTAAATAAAAAATCTTAATCAGTGAATAAATACAATAGATAAACAATGAACAGAAATGTGCAGAAAACTGATTTAATGAAGGAGAAGAAGATTTTTGTTTCTACCAAAGCAATTCAACTCTATTACGCTTCTAAATTACAAATAGCTTTAAAATATAATTAATAGACACAGCACTTGCGGTAAAGAACAACAAAGGCATTTCATGCTGATTTTATACAGTGTTGTATTTTATGAAAATATGTAACCATTTTTTGGTTAAATGTACAACCACAGAAAAAACCTTGTTTTGTTTGCCATGTTTGAACAAATATTAATACAGATAATAATATTTCTTTGAAATCACATTCATAAAAACTGTAATACAAATTAAATAGCTTGTTCTAAGAAAAATATGAACATGGGTGGGACCAAATCATTGTTTTGTAAGTGACAGCTAAGGGTCAAGTCTTTATCCTCAAATCCTGAATCAAGTCCCAAGTCTTGGAATTTGAAGTCCTTCAGTGATCAACAACAATGTTGAATTGACATATGTTAAATGTAAATAGATTATGTATTTTTTAAAATCTGTATTTGTCTCAAACTTTGTGATGTTTTGTGATGAAACATGGAATTGGACTTGAAAAATATAAAGAAAAGTCATTCTGAAATTACACCTTTATTTTCTACAGTTAAACTTAACTGCAAGAATAGTCATCTTTTAAACTATAATGTAACAGTCAGTTAAAAGTGCCAAATCAGCAGTAAATCTATTTTTCCTCACACTGAGAATATTTAATCTGTGATTAAGTAAATTTAACATCACTGAATCTGTGAAATACTCAATCAAATTTCAAGTTAGCATCTTCACACAAATGTATGTAGTAATGAGGTCAAAAATATTTTTTTCAAAATACAAGACATTGTAATTTTTCTCAGAAAATAAATTGTTTAAGCACTAGGGTTAGTTCAAACCTCCACACAACAAAAACCAAAAAATACAAAACAATCTTTACTGCATTTCATTCGGTATTTCAAAACGCCAAATATTAAATTAGTCTAAACCAGTGCTTCTCAATTATTTTCCGTTACGCCCCCCTAGCAAGAAGAAAACTATTCGCGCCCCCACTCCCCACCGTGACTATCCATCTCTGCATAACATTTTTTCCTTATTAACATTTTTTTCGCTGAAAAAACTCTAGCGGCTTATCGGCGTGATTGGGATGTAACGTATTTAAGTGACGCGCTAATTTATTTGGCTTCATGCTGTCCGCTGCGAGCATTTTTAGACACAGCAAACACACCGGTCTTTCCTCTTCTCCAACTGTAGTCACAGTGAAGCCAAGCGCTAAATACGCTTCGTCGTATTTCCTCTTCTTAGCTTTCGGTTGACTTTCTGTTGTCTCATTATCTTTGTCTCTCTCCGCTTTTCTTTTCATCCCTGTGAAAAACTTTTTCATGTTGGGGGTTGTTGAATAACGGAGGCCATAGACAGAACGCAGTCGGAGCTTTTTGTTGACGTAACACTGCTAACCAAGGCAAACCTGTTGTCTTGTAAGTCGTAAAATGTTGCACTGTCGCAAACGTGACAGAAGTAACAATGAGAGCGCCACTGCTGCCTACTGTGCGCAATTACACTTTATACTAGTACGGCCAAAAAAAGCCTGTTCCCCAGGATCACACGCCCCCCCAGGTATCGCACCGCGCCCCCCAAAGGGGGCCCGCCCCACTATTTGAGAAGCACTGGGCTAAAGTCATCAGAGTTCCAGAGCAGCAATGGACCAGCAGTGATTTAAAGTACACTGATAAAAATACTCTGCTCTACTTAAAAAATTAAGTTAAATTGATGAAATGCTTAGGGGTTGTTAATGTATGTAAAACAATGCTGATGTGGGCAGAAAAAGTCAATTTGAGAATAACACTTAAGTTTCAGAATATTGTTTACCATGGAAACGTCTAAAGACCACAGATCTTACAACTTACCTAATTAAATCACATAACTTCACTTGTTTGCCATATAAAAACCTTGATTTCTTTTTTAGGACATTGGCTTGTGTGTGACAGCAGGGATTGACCAGCAGCAACTAATTCAAGCACTTTTTTATTGGTCACAAAAATGAGATTTAAGATGTTGAGACTCCAGAGCTTTGTCAATGCAATCAGGTCCTCAAGAATCAAATCAATCAATCAAATTTTATTTGTATAGCACATTTCAGCAAGGCATTTCAAAGTGCTTTACATCATAAACTACTTATTAGCTCGTTTTTAGACATTAAACTGCATCATCAGTGAGGTGTGTGCTCATTTTTATGACCACCATGCTCTGAATGATGATGTGACCTTGCAAATAATTGTGTTAGTTTTACCAAAAAAAGGTGATCAAACTCTGACTGGTTTTCATGGTGACAACCAGTCTGGGCTCCAGATTGCTGAGAAAAGGCAGCTTCCTGGAACCATGGATTCTATTGAAGTTTTACATTTGTCACTAACATTTGTCTATGATGTATGTTAAAAAGCTTACCAGAAATGTCCTGCACTATTAACAATCATGCTAAGACAGAAGTGTCAATATGGACTGAAAGGCTTCATTCAGCTCCTCAGCTGCTATTGCTACAACTAAAGTGAGAGTACGCTAAAACAGAAAAGAAAATCCATGTCCTTGTTCACAACTTCTCCTTCTGTTCGCTGACTGGCCTGATAGGAAGCCAAAGTGGGAGAAAGGCAAACGGAGATGGAGCTGCAAAGAGACATTTGAATGGAGTGGAATCATCAGGAAGCCAATGGCAGGCTTTCCCTTTGGCTATGTGACAATTTTCTACTCTGCTGCTGTTAATATTAATTTTTGTTTGTTCATAGCATGTCACAACATTAAAGTTTAAACATGCTGTTTTTTGTTTTTAGAGAAAAACTACCCTAGGGAAATACATATTTACAAAGTATGTTACATTTTAACATATTAAACAAGACAAGTGTTGTCTCGTTGTAGCGCCTCTGTCACTAAACTATCAATGTTTGATATTTTGAGGTATGAATATATGACTTACTTTGTGAAACAACAGTACATTAAGTTCCATTATAAGGACTGTTATTTTTTATTCTTTTCCATTTTAACAAAAATAGTAAAAGATTATTAAGGCACCTAGAAAGGCATAGTTTACTAGCCTAAAGTATATAAGATGAAATTTAAAACATACTGAAATTAATAATTTAAAGTAAGCGTTAAGTGAATTGTAACACATTCTATTTTGAGCATATATTTTAAAATATACACAAAATATCTTTAGCAAATATTCTAAAGATATTTAAAATATCTTCTAAATATAGACTTGAGCAAGGGTATATTTACACTTGGGCAAATGCATATTTTGTTCACTTAAAGTATACTTTTATTTGTTTTCAATTATATTTAAAGTTAGAATGTCCAAATTGGTAAAAACATACTTTTAGTATACTTCATATATATTTATAGGTAGTAAACTTAATACTTAGTATATTTGAAATATATCAATGTACATATTTTTTTCACTAGGGTACTCCCAAATGTACATAAAAACAGATGCTTAAGGAACTGTAACTGTGTAGATGTGAGAAATTACTACACACCTCTGTTGTATGAATGTGGGGTGGAAATGTTAATTTTTTTGTACAAAACAGTGTTGTCAAAAAGAAAGAAAGAAATATCCACTGATCTCTGAATTTATGTCGATGCAGGCCTAATGACCAAAAAAATATATATTATTTTGTGAAATGATCAGAGTATGTATTTTTGAAGCAAAGCACACTAGACTGGCTCGCATAGGCACACAGAAAGACATTGGTTTGCAGCTTTAGAATGTGTCCACATAAGCAACTTGTAAAGCCTGAGTGAAAGTCCTGTTTTTTCAGCAACCAGAGGCTGAAACATGAGCTTTTAAAAGTCAGGATGAAGAATTACCTGATTGACACATCGCAGGTGTCCGATCCTTAACAGGAAGGTCGACATGTTTTTAACAACCTGCACTAAAAAACAAACATCAACATTAATTTAAAGAAATATAGTGACACAATAACAAATGAATCTTCATGTCATTATCAAACCTTCTCTTTATCTACAATTAAACTGGTTAGAATGGAAATACCACAGTGCTTAGACAGGTCAAATGCAGCGTTTTTCTCTTTACCTTGTGAAGAAAGGAAAGGATCGTGAACAGTTTGTTCCTCTAAATCAACGATCAGCGCTCCTTTATGTAACAAGACACACCACGCCCCTTGAAGCCCTCGCTCTGCTGCAGAAGGGACGAGTGCAGCCGCAGCCAACCAGAAAACACTCGAGAATGTATGGCAAGCCGATTTAACATAAATTCGGTTTTGCCTTACATTTCAGATATCTCAAATTGTTTTATGACTAGACGTTTTAGCAATTTAAGATATCGCTAAATAAATTTTGACTAGACAAAATACCTATTTAAGATATCTCTAATGACATTCTGACTAGTCGAAATGACGTCAGATTTCCCATTGACTTGCATGAAGACTTCAATTGAAGATATCTACAATGAATTGCTGACTATTTGAAATACACATTTCAGAAATGTACAATTAAATTATGACCAGTCATGAAGTAAACTCAAGATATCTGGATTGTAGTTTTGACTACTCATAATTCTAATTCAAGATATCTTAAATGTATTTTTGGATAGGAAAAGTGTAGTTTTGACTAGTGAAAATGAAATTATGGATATCTTAAAAACAAATAATGACTAGACAAAATTAAAGATATCTTGAATTGTAATTATGACTAGTCAAATTGTAATTTGACTAGTCAAAATTACAATTCAAGATATCTTTAATTTTGCTTGTAATTTTGACTAGTCAAAATACAATTTGACTAGTCAAAATTACAATTCAAGATATCTCTAAATGAATTAGATATCTTAAATTAACATTCTGACTAGTCAAAATGACATTCTGATATACTGAATATGTATTCTGTATAGTCCAAACGTTCCTGACTTGTGTAGCAATATGTAAGTTTAATAAAACAATGAAAAATAGAGAAAACAGAAAAAGACATTTGAAATAAACATAAAATAAAAACTTAAAACACAAAATGAAACATTTTATGTTTTAAGTGCATTCGGTTCGTTGGAAATGAATAAACAGGATTTTTTTGCAGATATCATTAGCAGTCTTATAGTTTATAAAGTTCTCCGCATTTCCAACATTGCCGAGCTCTTTCTAATTTGTGCCATTAAAGTCAACACTAACAGCACTAAGAAATATTACCGTTAGAAGACGTGGAAAAACAAACTTAAAACTAAAAAAGTATCCATGTCAGAATGTGCAGGAAACATAAAAATCTGCAGGCAACTGTTTGAACAGCACAAAATGGCTTTCACATCATGCTTAATTCAGATATCTAAAATTGTAATTCTGACCTCTGATAATCTGTCAAATTACAGATCCAGTGACGTCATTTGAGACATCTTGAAAGAATTTTGTCTAGTCAGAATGTAAATAAAATATCTTAAATTGCTATTCCAGATAGTCAAAATGCATTTTTAGATATCCAGAATGTAATTACGGATAGTCAGACGAATCCGAATTTATGTTAAAATGGCTTGCCATAGTGATATGTGCTTTGACAGGCCCAAAGCGGACGTGACATTGCAAGTAACCGTGATGTACTTCCTGTGGAGGTCATTCCCGCATTCTCCACGTGGAAAACACGAACTAAGAGCATTCAGTTCGGTTCAGTGAGCAATGGCTTGTTTGGGTTTCTGTGGGGAATGGTTTCTGTCAACCTGCAGCAGCAAACTCATAGCGATCCACACCAAAGAGCCCAGGTTGGACTTGAGTTAATTGTTCTTGACTTTTTGTTGTATTAGCTCTTTATATCTCTCCGTTCTTTTTGTTGGATAGCCAAAGAAAAAGAGCTGGAGTCAGTAACAGTTTCCACAGCAAAAGGTCTAATTTATTCTTGACGACCAAATATAAAGTTGTTCATCGCTGGACTCCTTCATGATGTACCACAGGAAGGGTAAAGTAACCAAAGTGCATTACAGATATCTTCTTGGGAAGGCTAACCTCTGACAATAGGCTGGATTTACACACGCACCATTTCATTGACCATATGTTAACGTCGTGGGCAGACCAGCCTCTATGGACCTTCCCACGTCCACGGGTCGCGTTTCATTGGCTGATGCCCATTTTACGTAATAGCGTGGCTACCACGTGCGTGGCCGTCTCACAAACACATGCTAATGTAGCGTCAGGCTAGCTGTAGACCGGCAGAAAGATTTCGCATCAACAGTCGAAGAAGAATGGTTCTCAATCACCAGTGGAGAATCTGTATTTATTGGCGAAAATGCGCAACACTGTAAACAGTTAGAAATGTTATGTTATTTTCTGTACAGTAAACTAAGGTTAGAAAAGGTTTTGCCTGAGGGGAGCAGCTGGGTCTACATTATTATGGTGGTTTATTATTATGGTTTTTATTATGTGTTTCTGCTGAGTCGTTTCGCAAACACTGTTATCAAGTCAACGCTAGCAGCAGTAAGAAATTTTACCGTTAGAATAACAAACTTAAAACTAAAAAAGTATCCATGTGTTAGAAGTGAAAACGATGCAGTATAAATGCATCAAAAAACACCGTTAAGCTCAGCTTGTGAGCTAACATCAACCAGTTAGCACTGTGCTCCTGCTAAATGACTGATTTCTTCTACATAATATTTCAATTATGAATTTACTTCATTTAAAAAAAAAGAGCTGAGTTGTTCAACTCGGACATAATTGTCTTTCTAACAAGAGAACTATGGAATCAACCAACTGAGCGAGTAATTCATTCCTTTGACGTTAAGCTAACATCTCTGTTAGCTTTTGTAGCTACCAGGCTCCCTCTACAATTCCTAAAAGCTTGCAAAATGAAATGTTAGGACTGAAAATAACAACATCAATGTAGTGAAGTTTCGCATGAACTTGTTAGAGATCCTCTGTTCATTGTTGTAGCTGATATTTGGTGAAATGATGCACTAATCGACTCAGAAATACTCTGCAGAGAATAAGTCCAAGTGGATAATTAATAGATAAATATCTATCTATCGATTTTATGAGTCTTGCATGTTTAAAGTTTCTCGCAAATATTAAGGCTTATCTCCATTTATATGCACACCCAGATTTTTGAAGTTGGATTTTACAGGAATATTAAAAGCAGTAGATATAGGACAGTCCTTTATTTCACATTTGTTGACATTTAATTTAAGCCTTTGAAAAGGTTTAAATCAATTAGAAAAGTTTTGGAATTTCATTCAGGCTGTTTATGAAGATGGTTGTGTTGTTGATTGTCGTTAAATTATCTGTGCTTTGCACAGATAATTTACCAAAGTGAGCATTTTGAATTCTCAATTTGGCAAATAGAAAGGAGCAAAAACAGAAAGGAAAGGTTGCACATCCTTGTTTTATACCTTTAATTCTACATTTTATGAATACCATGTGGAAGATGCACTGAAATGTTTGGGTTTTTTTGTCAAATGTTTTCATTACATTAATACATTTATTTCCAAGCCCAAATAAATCTAAAGCTTTGAACATAAATTTGTGTTCTATTATTTCAAAGGATTTATAAAAGTCTAAAAATACCAAACCTTTCTTTTCAACTAAGTGGTTACATTCAGTTAGGTTCAAAATAAGGCAAATATTATTTATAGAATGGTCTTTTATAAATCCAGACTGTCAGAATTAATTTGGGATATGCCTTTGGGCATAAATGTGTCAGGAGCTTGTAATTATTATTTAATACTGTTATAGATCATAAATGATCTTGTAGAGTTGGATCTTTTCTGGGTTTAGAAATGCGTGTGATAATACCTTGTATCATAGAGTGGGCATAATTTGTATTAGACAGTCATTTCCAATATTTCTGTAAACATTCCAACCACAAGGATGTATAAACCCAAAAATGTTTAAAAGTCACTTGTCAAGCCATCGCAGCCTGCTGCTTTGTCTTTGGATATAGCACCTAATGCTTATCTAATTCTTCTGGTAATGTCTACCTCAAATATCTGTTCATAATTATCATGTAGCGGTTTACCAGCATGAGCAGGTAAAGGCGTTTTAATATGCCAAAACAGGTAGTAAGCAGCCGTGCATTGAAACGTGCTTGGCATCACCCAGGTTCACAAAGCACCAACAAAGAATCTGCCCCAATAAGGGAGAACTTAGAGAGAACTTAAATACAGGCGGGAGATAATCAACAAACTGAAAACAGCTGATTGTGATTAGGGAAAATCACACACAAACAAAGGATAAACAAGAAAAAGCTAGCTGTCAAGGAGCAGATCTCGACAATAATTGTCATCAATTTCAGGAATCAAATTGAATATGATGCTGGTCCTCCCTTTGCAGCCTGAACAGCTTTAGCTCTTCCTTTATTGTCCTCAAGGTTTAGGAGTGTGTTTATGTGGATTTTTGACCATTCTTCCAGAAACGCATTTGTGAGGTCACATACTGATGTTGGACAAGAAGGTCTGGCTCTTAGACTCTGCTCTAATTCATCCCAAAGGTGATCTGTTGGGTCAGGACTCTGTGCCAACCAGTCAAGTTCAGCCTCACCAGTCTCTGCCATCCATGTCTATATGAACTGTGTTTTTTGTTCATTGGTGCAAAGTCATCTTGGAAGAGGAAGGGGCCAGCTCCAAACTGTTGCCACAAAGTTGGGAGCATGGAATTGTCCAAAATGTCTTGGTATGCTAAAGCATTCAGAGTTCTTTTCATTGGCACAAAGGGGCCAGGCCCAGCTCCTGACAAACAACCCTCCACCAAACTTTACACTTGGCACAAGTGTAAAGACAATACTTTACTAAATACTTGGAAAGACAAGTATCATTTTCCTGTCAACCACCAAAGCCAGATTTGTTTGGGGGAAGAGCACACATGTTCAGAACACATGTTCTGTCTGAAAACAGGATTTCATGTCGTTTGTTCTCAAACCTGAAGTCATCCATCTTGTTTGTCAGCTTATTAATGGGTTCCATTGTCGAGTTGTTGTTTTCCTAATTGCGGGACACAATTACCTTGATGGTGGTGTCCATGTTTTGATGGGCATTGGAGGAGATTTTTCTTTTGGTTAACAATGACAATGAAGTCTCCTTTGCATATTCCTGGTTGACAATTGCAGAGCACATCTTAGCGCCGTTAGCTTGGCTACAGTATCAGCTTTTTCCACTTTCATATTCGGCGTTGTTCGAAATTTGGAAAATATAAGGATTTCAGTT